GAACAAAAGCAGCGCAATTAAAATGTCATACTAATTACTTCCAGCGACTGGATCTGAAAAAATAAGTAGCACCTTTTACTTTTACTTGGCTTTCCCTTTTCGAGTTTTTTCTCTTCTCTACAATGGAGAATCTGCAGCATTGTTTCTTAAAAAGCAAACGTATAACTATCTGCCTATTGACTGATTGCAAAACTAATTTAATGGCAGTTTATTAAACAATAATTTTCATTGATTTTGCGAAAGTCTTTTCAATAGAACTGCCATGATAATTAAAGTAAATGAGGACAGTTAAATTAAATTAATAACCTCAAAATAAGATAACAAAGACAGCCAATTATCAAAATGATATGTGATTTTGCATTCGAACCTTTTAATTAACTCCAAGTCACTTTCCATTACTTTATTTATTATCTCGATCTTATATTTCTAAAAAGTAAATTCGTAGAAACAGTGTGAGTGTTATTCTCTGTGCTTATTATTTTTTATCATAGTTAATTAAACAAGAAGTATTAAATTAGGGTCATTTTTAAAATATAAATTTTCAACTATCATATTTTGTACAAAATATGTGAAGTGAACGTTAAGTTTCCATTAGATTTTACTTGACTTTAATATGTAATTTATTCTGTAACCAGGTTTGCAACTAAATTTTATTAAATTTAACATCTGATTTAATTTATAATTAGATTTTAATGTCTAGTTAAATTTATAAGTAGTTTTGTAGATTTTATTAGAATTGAATATTCAATTTAATTTATTAATTAATAACTATATTTGTAATTAGATTTTTCAAGATTTTATTTCTTATTTCTTTTTTTGTGAGTAGACGCGTGTCAACTTTGTTTTTTTTAAATGGAATTATAAGTTTTTTAACAAAAGATATTTATATTTTCTATATACATATTTATTTTTGTACTCGTATATATGTCTGCACAATACATATGTATTTCAAATAGTCCATTATATTCAATGATTTTTCCAAAAATTGCTATAAATTTTATATTTATACACCGATTAGGAATCCAACAGAATTAAATATAGAATTGGGAGATAATTACTCTATAATTCATTTCTATAATTAATTAGTTATATATAGTTATCGTAATCAATTATTAAAATTAATCAATAATCTTGATTGACTTTTGTAATTTGTAATCACTAATTAGTAATTTTTAAATCATTAAGTGATTAATTTATATTTTATTACAATTTATAATATATTACTTCTTCACATTACTACAATCACATTGTTCAAAAATATTGATTATATAGATTTGTGATATCCTAATTAATAACTAAACGTTATTATTAAATCTCTTGCAGTTTAACAAGTAGAGAATAATAGAATATTTACACGTACTCTTTGCTGCACAATAGTATCTGTATATGTATAATGGTATCTGTTGAAGTTAGAATAGTTTGTTAAAGTTTATAATCTTCTGATATATTTTTGATAAAAGAACGAATATATATCACAATGAAGATCTCAAAATTTTGATTATTCGGTAAGTTTATTATTAAAGTTTATCCTCATATAAAAGATTGTGTCAATAACGACTCAAGATATATACAAATGAAACTTTCAATCACAAAACAATGCAAATAATAAATATGTCGTTTTCACAAAATATAGAGTATCGTTGATAAAAGTAAACTATGGATACAATCGTAATTAAAAGTGTAATCATTTTATGATTAATGATTTTGATTTCTTTGTTCGATTAGTGATTATTTGATAATCACAATTAATATCCTGATTTTACATCAATTATAATTGTTAATCATTAATTGGATTATTTTTGTCTAACTCTGAGTATTTGAAATACATCCGTTGCCATGTAAAAGTCATCATTTAAGCCTGCATTTTAATATTATACAACGACTATTCAAAACATTTAATTTCACTTTACTAATTTTGTATTCAGAACGCTATGTCTAATCACTGAACTGTGGGTATTTATGTAAATTCATGTTTCCGAGAACATTAATTAAAAATTATTTTACACGATAAATATTATAGAAAGCACTATATACTTTGAATGTGCATTTCACATATTATGTACATACTTTGCAAGTTTGCATATCTCGTTGTTGGCTACATTAATTTATTCTCCTTTTATTTTTTGTTATATGTTCCTTTCCAAATTCTTTAATTATCATTTTTTTCAGACTTTTTTCTCAATTTTATACTTTATACATTTTATATAGTATAACAAATAGTAAATACTTAGTATAATTAATATAATCTTTTATCATTTTTTTCTAGAATTTTTATACTATTTCTGTTGGCAAAAGAATTAAAATTCCCTGTAACTACATAAAAATCTGCATAGAATTACTTGATATAGATTGCAGATCACCGTGTATCCGAACAAACGAATAAGAAGAGTGAAATACATACAACAATGCGACTGGTCCGTCGTTCATTCGAAAGTAGCCGAATTGTTTTCACAAAGAAAGTTGATCCTGTATTCCGCATGCATGTGACCAGATTGTGTACTCGGGTAACCAATCTGCACGTATACGAGTGTTCAAATACGTACACGTACTAGAAACGCGCAGCAATCGCGACCGTTTCGCAATCAATTTTCTACGACGTTAAATTGTAACGCTTATGCAACTGCTCTCCTCTTCCTGTCGTGCACAACAAAATTCAAAGAAATTACGCGACCGACAGCGATGCGCGATCTTGACGCTGCTGGATCCTCGGCTAACAATAAGTTCTCACATGTATATCTCTTCGTGGAAATTTCACTGTTCGCTGTTCGGCCAGCGGTAATGGTGCTCAACACCGTTTCGTTATCTTTTCCGACAACGCGACTGTTCTTGTTACTGCTTCCTGTTAAATGTACTATATACCTATTTATATTGACGCGATAATCACGTTAATCGTCAAATGTTCGTTTTTTTTCTAATTTTTCCATCTTTCCATCTTTGCTTTTTCGTTAATTGTATGTTGATGATAAGTATTGTTTATATGGTATATGATATGTTATATATATTGCACGCATAATGTATTTACTTATATATACATTATATATTATAATAATATAATACTACTATAATAACACTATAATATTATAATAATATAATGTTATATAATGTAATATATATAAACATTGTATAACATTGTATGCGTGTGTGTACATTGTATTATATGTATATGTATTATAAATATATTCTATTATACGTTATATATATAATAATAATGTATAATA